TATTCCAACGAATAAAAGAAATTGAAAAATGTTTACAGGACACTAAGAAAATTGTTGGACAAAAAGACTATAAAGATTGAACAAAAAAATCCATAATGATTGCAATATATTGAGATAATGACCCCAAAAAATTAACATTTTTACACTCAATGTATTGCTTGACCTAACCCCAAAAAAGTTGGTGGTGTTGTCGCAATGATAGGTTAGATGTAATTCAAATGCTCTCATTTTCATTAACCTCACTGAGAATTGTTTCAAACGACTGCTTAATTGTCCTTTTTCTTTATTCTCAGTTAACAGTAAGATTGCACAGACTATACTTCTTTACGAGTTTTCTAAGACCGTGGCTCTCAACCTTTTTCTGATCCCAAAATTTCATGGGCTGTTTTGTTAAATTCTTAAAGTACTTTTAAACTGCATTGTAAAACAATAACTTCAGATGGTATATTTTAAACTTTTTTTTTTCAACCAGCTGAAACTTCCCTGGGGACCAGCACTGGTCCATGGGCCGAGGGTTTGGAATCACTGTTCTAATTCAAAGAGTTAATTACCTAGTTTTTCTATCAAGTTTACCCCTTAACACAAAACTTATAACCATTTTTAGGAGCTGTACAATGTAAATTACTCGTATGGATTAGCATATTTGCTGATATTTAGCATGTGACTTAACAACTGGCCTCACTAGTGTTCCAAGTACCTCAGCAGTAAGCTCCGGTGGCTTATAATGCCTAGATTTGAGGTTCAATTCCTGCAGTTGGTACAGCTTTGCATTTAACAAACAAACCTATTTGTTGTTTCTGGAATATAAGGAGAAATAACTTGAGTAAAACTTCTCATTCTTTAATTACTAAAATTGTAAACAATGGTAAGAATTGGAACTTCTGTAAAGTTATCTCTTTTAATGAAGATTCAAGTTATTGTTGGAACCTTTGTAAAATTATCTCTTTTAATGAAGATTCAAGTTATTGTTGGAACTTCTGTAAAATTATCTCTTTTAATGAAGATTCAAGTTATTGTTGGAACTTCTGTAAAATTATCTCTTTTAATGAAGATTCAAGTTATTGTTGGAACCTTTGTAAAATTATCTCTTTTAATGAAGATTCAAGTTATTGTTCCCCATGAAATTTCTATATGGTTTTCAATTCATCTGTTGAAGAAACTTCAAGATTGTTTTATTGGACATAATAATAACAATAAACTCACAAGAGGTGCATCATGATTCTGCTCTACTTTAAAAAAAGATACCTATATATTAAAAATATTGCCCGTTATCAATGTTTTTTAAATTTTTTTGTTATGTGTGCTTACTTTGATAGTTAATTGTATAGCATATAATTCTATCCAACTCTCGAGTATTCACAGTTCCATCAGGTTTTCATTCTCTAGATTGTAACATCAAACATGTATCAGCTCACTTTAGATATAGTTTCCTTCATGTAAAACAGAAACCAGCTCACTTTGAATAATACTCAAAGTCTCAAACCATTAGGTAACGTTTGTCACAATCAACTTAACTGGGTCAATGGGAGCTGATCTATGGATTAAAAGTGCAGTTTTGGTTGGTTATTATGTTTTGTCATTTCTGGCTATATAAAAACACTCAAAATTAACCACAAGTTAAAAAATATAATTTTACTTCATCTTTATTGTTAAGACCTTTACAATCAGACAATTCTACAGAATATTATAATTTACAAAACAAATCTATGGAATCTAATAAACCAGACTTATTATATGATAAATTGGGAGTGAGGAAGGTACGATGAAATGAAAAACTTGTTAATTCTCCTTCACATTTTACAATAGTAAAGAAAAAACTCGGCAATGCTCCCCAAGTATCATGTTAGACATCCAAAGTTAGTTTTAACTATGGCTATTAACAGACAACAATTATGCTGTTTTACTGTCTTGTATGTCTGGATAATATTCACTGTAGTCGTATTCTCGGAAAGGAACATCAAATGTGATCAACCCTGCACAAGGAAAAATTTTACTTTTTAAAACCTTGATTACTTTACATTTAACTAAACAAGATATGAAAAGCAGGTAAAATTTAAAATTCATACTTTGACAACTGTGCTCTAAAGAGATTATTTCTACTAGTTAAGATCCTTAGTTTCAAATACAAGCAAATTAATTTAGAAAAAAAACTGGACCTTTCTAAACTAACTTATATGAAACAGTACAAAAATAATTGCAGATATAGCACAAAATAAAATTCTGAATCTACTCAAAATCAACTAGATTGTTTTACTAGCTATGGAAATAACAATGTTTAAAATCAGTTTTTTGAAGATTTAATTTTTAATACTTTCAGTACTTAGAAGTATAAAATATTATTTACTCAAGAAAAAACTATAAGAAATGTGACACTAGAAAGCAATAATCAACATGTTATCACCCTAGTGGTAAAATATGTAAGAAGTTAATCAATAGCTCTTCATGAAAAAAATATAAATAAAAAAGGACACCAGAGGAACACTACAAGAACTATAAAAAACTGGATTTAGCTGTCTTCTTCAGAATAACGTTTAACCCTTCACTTGTGGCTTGTGTAAATCTGCCTACCCCCCCATGTGCGAAATTTTGCAGGGGGCATTCAAAATGTTGCGAGCAAAATGCTTGCGTTCATATAATGTCAACCGCAATTTGAGGGTTAAACTTTAAAGAAACCCAACTTTTGTTTGTTCTGTTTATGGCAAAGCCCCAAAATATTTCTGAACTGCCAACCAGAGAGAAGGCAAATAGCTTGCCAAATCATGGACTGCACTTCACCAGTGAATAGTGAGATCAACCATCACATCATAACACCAGGTTTCAATCCCATGACTCGCACATTGTAAGTCAAGTGCCAGACCTGAAGAAGCCTGAACAGTAACAGCTATAAAGTCCAGTGCTGTTTTGTTTAGTTTATTCTATTGTAAGTTCTCTTTTATTTCTTCTTTTTACTTTACAAATAAAGCCAACAAAAACAAGAAAGTTAAAAAAGTATCTCTAGAAAAATAACACCTCATTATACAGAAGAAAAAAAAATCATTTGGAATAAAAACTGATCAATTTTATCATTGATGGGTGGCCACTATTATTAAATAAATAAAAACATTTCTGAAGTTCATCTAAATCAATATTAAGTAAGAAAATAAAAACTGAAGTAAAGTAGGTAAGTTATTTACCCCAATCTTTTGCTTTCTCCACTGCCACAATCAACTCCTTTTGCTTTTTCTGACAAAGACCTGCAGTAGTAAAGCCCACATGATAACAGTTTCATTTCATTTATTTTTGAACACATTTTTTTATCATACTAGACAAAGCTACCACATTCTGTTGACTAAAATAATGAAATATAACTATTCAATACAGCCTCTTGCAAAATGCCCGTATCAAATGAAGACTACTTAAGATAAAGCATTACTTGCACTACAGTATAAGAAACATGTCATGTATATTACACAATAAATTAAAAAAATTCCTACCTAATATTAGTTAATGTATAATATTCTAGATGGAAGAAAAGATGTTATTTGACACAAGTAGAAAGCCTTATTAATTTTCTTCATAATAATTCACTGGTGACAAAAATATGCTAACCCTATCAGAAAGGTTTAATTAAAACTAATTCTTTCTCAGACAGTGAATCCCTATATATCATGGTATTTTTATCAAGTTTTCAAATGTAAGAATTGGTAATATTACAAAACACCTAATATTTCTATACTAACCTTAAGTTGTTGTTCCTTTTCTTTAGTCGTGAATATTTTGTAGATTTTTTGCATGTGCAAAACATAAAAAAAAAACTTAAACTTTTAAGGGTTAGATGGTGAAAAATCTCAGCAAAATTTATATACTCACATGCATATATTTATATTTTTTCTTAGACAAATTCAGCAATCGCTTTTTTTTGGGGGAGAAGGGTATCATAAAAAACATATGACATCATATTAGTTATACATGCAAAAAGTAAACCATGCCATCTTCCACATTTTAACTCGTCTTATTTGACAATCTCTATTATCAACCAAACAGGATGTTGAAGCTGTAGTTTTCTTGGTGGTTGTGGTACAAATTTTCTTACATAATGTAGGCAAATATTATTTTGATAAGAGTATTAAAATTGCAAAATTTTGTGACCAGTTAGTTGGAGGTTTCTATCCTAAGCGTTCTCAGTTAATTGTAAGTTTACGAGTGCTGTTTAACATTCATTTTACCAAGTCACTTAGAATTTCTACATGTCTGCTTTGTTTTTGACAGGGAGACATTTTTAGCAGTGAGCTTGGTATTTCCAAAAAACACATGACATGCCCTTTATTGAAACATAACACATTTGTGAAATAATAAACATTCTATTAATTGGATTGTCGTATTCTTGTACATCAAAGTCAGTGATTTATAAGTTCCAGAAATGTTAGGCCCCATAATTCTCCATTACATACCATATTCTTAAAGAAAACTCAATTGTAGCTTTGATTTTGCTATTACATTTTCCTGTACCTTCTACGTAATATTTCTGTAAAACATGCAAATTACCTCTTGGCTAGTATGTTGATCAATTCGAAAGAACATAACAGTACCTTCTTGTCTTATTGGCATCATATAACAGTACCTACCTGTCTTATTTGCATCATAAACTTGACCTGTGTGGGGTGAGACAAACTGTTCAAGTAGTTCTGTGTTCTGGAAAAAACAAAATCACCGTACATCAAATCCTCTATTGATGGAAGAAAAGAACACCTAGAAAAAGTTTTCTCTCTAATATACACATTTAAGAAGCCTTTTGAAAACACTTCAGTATTGCAACATTTAGGAATTATTAGTCTAAGCACTGTTTGTATTGTATTAACAAACTTGACAAATTTTTTTGCTATAAAACACACAAAAAAGAAGGATTTTAAAATAAGTATGTACACAGATTTTGTAGTCTGACAGCCATAATGCTTCAGGACTAAAAAACTATGAAACATCTTAAAGCCACAAGCAACCATTTTGCTGTACATCTTTGGTTATAAATGTAACATTGTTCTGACAACAGTAAAATTAAAACCCCAGAGATTTGAGTTTTAAATCATCATAGGAATGATGTTACAAGCTACTATCCTTCTTGAGACAAATACAAAAAAAAAGAGTTCATTGCACCATTTTCAGTGATGGATCACTTAAATGGCATAAAAAATAATGATGTTTAATTCAAAATAACCAAGCATCAAGGAATTTTCCCATGGAATTCTAATCAGGTGAGAAGGAGAGTGGAAGAACAGGAAATAACTTGGTAATAATGTGCAGCAAAGTCCACGGGTGTACAAAGAGAAGAGTGGAAGAGCTTAGATTCTATCAGACTGGAGCCAAGGAGTAGTTCCAGGAACAGGGTGCCACCAAGACCTACGATGGCCAGCCCTCAGAAAGGGAAAGCATTGGATAGTAGCTTGAGGACTAGGAACAAGAGAAAGAGATAATCCCACAAAACTGTAAAGGATGAGAAACCTGATGGGACCCCCCCTGGTCCAAAAAGGCAAGAAATCAAAGTGAGAAGAGATGACTGCTGACGAGCTGTATCAGTTTACATTCCAAAGGGTAAGAAACACTGCCAAAGAACTTCATCACAAATAAAGGTGCAACACAGAGGTCGCACTGTATCAGTTTACATTCCAAAGGGTAAGAAACACTGCCAAAGAACGTCATCACAAATAAAGGGTGCAACACAGAGGTCACTGACAATAGATTGAGGGAGACAAGTGTCAGAAAATAAGGCTACTTGATGAAGTACATCCCAGAAAAAGAGTTAACTTAACACAATGGAAGAAGAAAATCAAAGGCAAAGTGGAAAACAGGTATGTGCAAGTTTCCCCAGTAATGTATACAGGTTCATGAAGTAAAGTCTCTAAAAGAATAGTGCGAGTGAGAAAATATGAGATTCACAGGCTGAAAGAAGAGAATCGAGTGATGGAGGTTCAAGCAACAAGAAAGACCGAGATTCATGCAAAATAACAAAAGAAAGAAAACAAAATACACATACCTGCATAATTAAAACAGTAAAGGAAGGATTACTTGATCTTTTTCAGGAAGAGGGAATTAAAAACAAAAGTAGGAAATGATCCAACAATGGTGAAACTCGTTGAATGTTGAGGCAAGCTCAGCTAAAGTAACAGAAGCAGGAGACCAGGAATCCTGGATTTGATATCAGAAAGGAACCAACCACCTGGTGCATAATAGTGGTAGCATCAATGACTGTGAGAGTGTCTACAGTATTTGATAACTTCTGTTGAGGTGTGTCTAAACCTTGGGGTTGCCAGAAACAAGGAAATATGATTTTGTAATCAAGATGATCCACAAATCCATTTTTTAAAGAAATACAAATAGGCCCAGTATGTTAATGGTGCATGGGCCTAATGACACTGAAGAGTACTTAAAGAAACCCATTGCTGGGTTAAAACAACAGGAAATAGTACTGTCAAAGTAACCTTATCATATGCAATGGAACATGTGTCCCCAAATTACAAATTCAATTCAAATAAAATATCAAATCAAAGATAACTTTAACTGAAATGCTTTAAGTTTGGTATCTTTCTTTTTCAAAACCAAGTAAATTAAGGATAGAAAAACTACATAACAAATTCTAATGAAAGTTTAAAATAATAAACTCAAAAATGCCATTAATTCCTTAAAAAAAATACATCTGAACAAAGCAGTGCCATGGAAACAATGAGCCTCTGTTAAAATACAGTTACTCATAGGGATTACTGCACCTTAAAAACATGTTGCCCTCCTATTGGTGGCGGACTACTGTCTAGTGATTATTACATCTATGGCTGGTACATGTTAATACATGTAGGGGTAGGAGCTCTGTTCAAAGCTTGTGACATGTGCAAAAATATTCAGGGCATGGGAGTGAGGTAATAGCTCTTTGTTGGGTAGAGGTGGGTAAACATTTCTGAATAAAAATGTCATCAAGTTAAAACACTGAGCAAGTTTGGAATAAAATCACAAATATCTTTTAAATTTGCTCAGTATTTCTTTATACCACTATATTTTTGTAATTATACTTGCTATTCTACAAGCATGGATAATTTGTATTACGAAGGTTGAAAAAAATACGAGAATACAAGAAACAACAACGAAGACAGGCCAAATGCTTATATTTGATAAAACGATGAAGTTTATGATTTTCACTCATCACTCTTTGTAATCTCAAGACAATTTCATGGATGAAAGCTTTTTTTGGAAAGTATTATTAGGTCACTTTTATGACTCACATGCTAATTAATTACAGTGGCATGTCTCAGACAAATCTATTACTATTGACCAATTGTATGCAGGCAAAAGTTTTAAGATATCTTAGTAATAATTATATTTAATAAAGATTCGATGGACCAAATACTTACCGTATGATGAAGCACAAGATATTCATCTCGACATATCGGGCAAGGGTTCCCTGTACTGATTTTTCCACTTCGCTAAATATGAAACGCACACATAAAATAATACATTTTTCAATTGTTGTAAATAAGATAAAACATGAATTACTGCCTAAATATTTGTATATCAGCTGTATTAAAAAGACAATGCTCTTTCTGCAAAGTTAGCTTATCTATGACAAAATGCAAAATTATATGTCCAGAAATTTAGTGTTATCTTAATAGAACATTTAGAAGAGCTTATAAATCCACTAAATGAAAATTTATCACCTGGACATATTAAAAGTTTTGTAAGGTGTAATACTGTGATATATGTGGAAGTTTCTTTATGGGCAGAAACAGCCTGGTAACATTGGTTGATAGATTTCTACAAACTGGGTAACTTCTGTTTCAAATCTTCAGGTTTGGAGATGGAAACAGACATTACAGAAAACTCAGAGATGTATCAACCATTGCTACAATCTTATAAAAAAATCTGCACTACATACATTACAAGAAGTAACATGATACCTACTGTCACTGAAAAAATAATGGATACCAAAAAATGCATCAACAGTTTTTGTTAATATTATCTGAAAGTTCTAAAACAATATATATACCAATGTGAATTAAATTAATTACTTTGATGGAATGCTGTACGATTAAGTTGTATCTACTCACTGAGCACTAAGGGCTAAAGTGAAGCTTTTTAGGCACTCTAGTACAGCAAACTACATTTCAAATAACGATCTTTGATTATACCAAAAACTTATTTCTTAGAAATGAAAAAAATATGTAAAACAAAAAGAAACCTTAATTCTGAAAAAAAAAACTATTTAGAAGTAAATAAATCATCTAATTTCTACATTTTGTTATCATAAGCAAAAGAATATTGATCATTTGCTTGAGAGTTGAAAGTGAAATGATGATACGTCTCTGATATTCAGGTACACTGATACTTACCACAAAATTATCAAGATCTACAAAACGTAGGTTCTGGGAATGTCATACAAAGAATGATTCTAAACATGGCCAGCAAAGGAAATAGAAACTTACAATAATGTAAAAAGAAAACAAATCTTTATTCGTACAAAATAACTTGCAAGCTTTAGTTTCCTGGACAGCTTCTAGTTTCCTGAATAATCTCTACTGGCTGCTGAAGAAGAAAGCAGATTGAAGTAAAAATGTCTACGAAGGGCAAGAATAGAATAAAGAAATATTCACACCCATACAGGACAGAGATGAGATCAAATGTGACACTGTTAAGTAACACAACTCTTAGTGTGGTATTCCATAATTAATTACATTCAACTAAATGTTTTTTAAATGCATTTTTGCACTACCCTTTGTTTAATATGATAAAAATTTTCAGTGTTTCTGCTGGCAATCACCACCTATCTTGTTTTATGAAAAAAAAATTATTGTGGGACTCATGAATCAATTACATTCAACTAATCAATTATTCCCACATAAAAATTGGAAAAATGGAATAATCTTAGATAGTAATAAGAGGAAACACTAACTTTGATTAGTTGATTATTTTCATGACATTAAACAATCTAATCATAATTTCAATTAATCGATTATCTTACGTGCCACTAAACGATGTAACCGATGCTCAGTTCTAAGTAACGAGTAACTATTGAGTTAATTTCCCCCGGTTGTACAGCTGAATATACCTATTTATGGAATGGTAAAATCTGATAATTCCAATTATCACAAAATCAAGATGATAAAATTGGGATCAACCTATTGATCCCTTTCTCAAAATATTTCTTAAATTCACCTGTAAACTGCTGGGTGCTGTTTGATTTTATACAATACCCAAAATTAATAATAAAAATATTACACAGAAGTTCACACGTACACAAGATCAAGTAATTAAACTCAATGCTAATGTAATTGTGTACTTACAATACATGTTTTTCTTGTTTTACGAGGAGGGTACTGTCCTTTGAAATTCCTTCTGTAGCGAGTCCAAACTGGTTCAGAACCATAAGTTTCTGCATAAGCTATACAAAAACCAATAAAGCATAAATAAAAGAATCACGTCTTAAAAACCTATGGCAAGTTTGAAATGTTAGAAAAACTGCTGAGTCAGTAACCTATGGATTTTAAAAACAACAAATCAAGATATTGGTAATACCATGTCATAATACACACTTTTAATAATTTGAAACTAAATGCAATAGGATATGAAGTAATTTTACAGGGAAATACAAGAAGAGTTATAGATAAAACATAAAGTTCTAAGCTATATAGCACAAACATGTGAAAACTACTGAATCTATCATTAAGATGCAAGTAATGTGAAAAATTCAACTTTAAAGATTAATCATGTTAATTAAAAGTTTTAGGCCTAAGAATGCATTTTAAAAAACTTACATTTGCAGGAAATATCACTTTGAAGCTATAATATCCGATTTCCTTATTTAAATATTCTAACAAGCATTTTACAGTACCAGATATAATAAAAAAGTCATCTTCAGCTCCAAGGTGAAGAAGAATTTTAGGTTAAAGCCTCACAGCTTGAAAAGATTTTCTTTTACATTCTTCATTTTTTTGAAGGAAGATTTTCAAACCTTAAAGAGAACTGATTACTTTGTCCTTAATTTTTGTTCCCTACAAGCTGAATAAATAAATTAAAATAATTAGATAAAATTAGGCCTTTGCAAAATGTAATTGTGGAAGAATGGGTTACGGAAAAGTATGCTATTTTCATTAAGGATATAAAATATTCCCTCAACAAAATGGAAAGGAACTTCTGAAGATGTAGAGTTTTGCCTTAAATTTGCCCTGAACAAAGAATTAAAGATAACTACTAACTTACTACTGTTAAAATATTAATTTATACTCATCCTACTTCATATGTTCCTTATAGCAGAAAATTCAAATTAATCTTACACTGTCAATTATAAATACACTAACAATTGTAATTAAAACAAACTTCATCAGCTTTAAATAAGAACTGCACTACATTTCATTATCTTCTGCTGTAAGCTTATGTTACATATATTTGTATTTCTATTAAGTTAAACCAATAGTTAAGAATTATTCTAAATTAATTTTTAACTAATTATTTTGATGTAATTTAAGTGGAAAAAAATTAAGCCAGTAATTCCATTTTCTGTATTTCCCATAGTAACATCTGATCTGGTCATTTTTAAAAAGTAAAACTATCTAAGCTGAAGTTGACTTTGACCCTGCCAAAATATATGTATGTCCCCTTGTCCCACCATTCTCATTATTAAATATGATGCGTTAATTCTATAAGTTCCCTTAAGAAGTTTAAACACTTTAAACAGATCTCTCTAACTCTTCTTTTTTTTTCAATAGAAAATTTCAAATATCTTAACCTGCCCTAAGGTGATAACCTTTCATTCCTACTCCTCCTCCTTTGACACCTTTCCAACAATGTAATGGAGCCCAAGATTGAACACAGTACTTCAAATGAGACCTATCAAGTGACCTATACAGTGAAATGATAACCTCTTTAGACTTTTATTCTGTATTTCCATAGATACAACATAAAATCCTATTTGCCTTACCTCTAACAATAGCACAATGTTCGGACGATTTAAAAGGCTGATCAACTTGAACACCAAGATCCATTCCTTCCATAAGACTGTTATTCCCACCAAAATTATAATAACCCACATGTAATCCTTGCATTTAATATAACTAAAAGTCATCTGCTAGTTATTTGCCTAACTCACCAAATCCTTTTGTAAAGCAGTAGCATCCTCCTCACGACACCAACATCCAAAAACTTTAATATTACTGGTGACATTAATCTATAACAACCCTCTGCTTTCTTCACTAGCCATTTTTCAACCCAACAAACTAACTTATTCCCCACACCCATATAGATCATTTTTAATTAGCTTTTTATGTGGCACTTCATTAAATCTTTTCTTAAAATACAACTATACCAAATCCACACTTTATCCTCATCAACTGTAAGCATTAACCTCTCCAAATAATGTCAAAAAGATCAGTTAGGCAGGATTTTCTCCTAGTGAAACCATCTGACTGTCAAACAAAACTTTAAACTTTGTTAAATGAATTTGCAAAGCATCTTTTATTAGACATTTAAAACTTTTTCCACCATTGATGTAAGATTAACAGGCCCATTTAATTATCTGGACAATTTTTGTCACCACCCTTAAAAAAAGAGGAGTAACATTAGCTAACTTTTAATCTTCTGGCACACTCCCACTACCCAAGGACTTATAATAATATTAGCAAGTGGCTCAAATATCCAATCTTTAATCTTATTCAAAACCTTTAGGGAAATATTACCAGGTGCAAGAGCCTTGTCATTCTTTAGAATTCCAGATTTTTCTTAACAACCTCAGAATTAATGTGATTGTCTTGTTAACAATCATATTTCCCTCTCGCAACTGTTCAGGTTAAGGAATACTACTTAAAATCTTCATAAGTAAAAACTAAAGAAAAAGTAAAATTTGACAACCAAGCTATCTCATAATTATTGTAAAATAAGCCTTCTTCTATGAAACCCCCAAAGCCCTTACTCCCATCCTGACATTTTGCTTATCCTTAATGTAAAAAACGTTTAAAGAAATCCTTGGGTAAGTTTTACATTTTAAGCCAATGTTTTTTTTCACATTCCCTTTTCAATTGCCTATGTCCTGTTTAATTTACTCGCTTGATTGTCTATAATTGTCTAAGTCTCTTGTTATAACTCAGATTTTTCCAACTTCTAAAATAAGATGCTGCAATTTTCAACCAATTAGAAACACAAACTAGACATAATTGAAATTAAGAAACTAAATGTGAATCTCCTATCATTTTTATTTGCTGAGAAACCAATGGATTTGTCAAACCTACCAGAGAAGGTCCTACCCCTCTCTCTTACTGACTTTCAAGATTGTTTGCTAATCAACTTTATATAGCTGATGTACATTTTCAAAACCAACAGAAAGAGCAGGTTCACTTCTGTGTAAATCTTAAAATTCTGCATTCAGTTTTCCTGTTGTTATTTTTAATCAACAAGAATTGTTTAATTTGTGTTGATTAGATTTGATGCTCCTAATAGTAATAGAACTTTTTAAACCTATTTATAGCTTACTTATAAAACTAGATAAATTATAGTAGTTTTGAGACATTCTATTCAACTGCCCAAAATATTTTCCATGTTCTAAAATGCATATTTGACAGATACATGAATTTCTTTTTGGACACCCAAATTTGTGTGACTCAAGAGGCTTAGAGGAGAATGTCAAGTATTATTATTCAAGCACAATCAGCTCAAGTACATAGCAAGTACTAGAAATATTTGTTTTTTACATTTATTTATTGTTCAATACTTTATATAAAAGTAGCTAAAATGTAAAAATTAAACTTCTCAGCTTATCCTAACAAAACTATAATAAAATGTTTAAAAGTATGTTAGCTTCAGCACAGCTTCAAAATATGACACTAGATCACATATTTACATTAGCTCTATGGGAAACAGCTAATGAACTCCCGCTGTGATTTATTGCTTTTTACGTGACAATTACTACTCCAGTAGTACAAGATACAACAATAAAATTAAAAGAAAACAAATGTGAAAATGGTTAATAGTTGAAATTCTGATCAATACTGCGGTAACTGCAGAGAAAAAAAAATAGTATTAATTATTTTCAACTTTTCATTTCACTATAAATTGGTGATTTTTCTCCAGTAAATTGTTAGGGTAGAGAAAATATGAGATAAAATATAAAGTTTTACCACCCAAAAAAACTTTTGAAATTGATTTAGAAAGTTTTAGAGGTAATGCGGATGAAATATAGAAAAACTCTTAAGATGAATACAAGTATTCTTATTCTTAGCATGAATATCACCTTTCACTCAGACCTACTCAGTAAATATAAATCTTTACTGAAAATAAATTTATTGAAAACTTTTGTGTGTGTGTGTGTGTGTGTATATATAACAGACAAGT